AATGTTTTACTCTTTGTATTTTCACAGAATTAAGAGCCCTTAATTGTGTTTTTCCAATCGTTTTACCCCTGTGTCCTGACATTCTGTCTGAGATCAAAGTATCTATTAATTCATGCATTTTCTTCATAATTATGAATCTCCCAACAATGTGGTTCATCATTAGGCTTGCGAATTGAAAATTTGCGAGAATATTATTTAAAATGTTTATTACAATGTTATTCAGAATAAATATAAGTGCGCACACAAACATGGCCAAGCTTTGACATCAAAAGTTTTAAAAATGCGACATCAAAAGTTTTAAAAATGTTTTTTTTTAAGTAATAAAACATCAAAAGTTTTAAAAATGCGAAAATTCATTTTTTTTCTTACAGATCATACAGCTCCGTTATTGAAAATAAATATTTATTAAGACTGTCTGTTATTCAAAGTTATTGTGTAATGTTTTTCAAATCATTTTATGTAATGTTTTTCAAATAATTAGCCTTTTACTTAATTACGATCAAATATTGAAAATTTCCCAAAAACTACTAATAGAAGGTTTCATCAAAAACGTTTCATAATTTTTCCTTCAAACTTTTTGTATTAGATACAAAACAAGCATACAGTATAAGTACCATTTTGTTTAAAACTTCTGAATTCAAAAGAACATAGTACAAAGTGTTTGCTACATTATACCAACATAAGTTTTTCTTCATTTCGACGAATTCCCGTTTAAACTGTATAATAAATAGGATATGAATTACTGCAGGTGATGTAAACATACAGTTTTAGTACAAATATTGCAAACAGAATGCATAATGAATTTATACTAGTTTTTTACTCAAATTTGTAATTAAAATTGGAATCGGTTTAATACATGCATATAAAACCTTCAAATTATTTCAATACTGAAGTACATGAGGTATCACATAGTATCAGTATCAGTACTGCCTTTCTATATTGAATGGATATGTCTCTCTCCCACACTAAACTAGTTTTAGTTTATGTTAACACACTTTCGTAAAATTACTCTCAAACATTAGACTAGAAAATATTAACAGTAAATTCGTGATAATTCGCACAAGAGTAAAAATGTAATATATTAAAAAACATTTGAGATTGTACCAACGAAGGCATTCCAGTATTCTCCAATGCGACACAGAAAGAAAAGAGCATTGTATAATAACAGGCCCTTAGAGAGTTCTTCCAAGAACACTAACTCATCAGGCCTTTTCATGTACTTTGCGTAGTACCTCTATGGACATCATTGAGCACAAAGAAACCCATCTCATCACAACGGTTTAGCGTTGACTAGATGACTTTCACATCTAGTATTACTCACAGATTCATAACAAAAAATAACACAAAATCCTAATTTACACCGACAAATGTCAGTTGAACATCTTTGTGCGTTCACTCATACAGAGCTTTTCTAACCATCAAAGCACTCTTTGCTGGTCGTGACAATATTTGAAGTCCGTCGATCCCTTTCAGCGAGAGCACGAGAAAGGACTGGCTGCTACTCTTCAGAGACGGAGCGGCCGGTTGTCCAAGCCCCCGTCTTGCGGCGCGGCGCCTGACGGCCACGAAGGCAGTCAGCCGGCGGCTCAGCCGTCCTCGGCCCAGGGCTGCGCTCCGGAGCCAAAGCCCGTAGACGCGGCAGCAGGCACAGCGCGCTCGTCACGTAGAACAAGACGCGCACTCCGGCCGCGCTCTGCGCAGAGCAAGGGCCGAATAGACACCGGGACGGCGTGCTGCTTACAAAAATGATGAAGAACAGAAGTCATGGGCGCATGAAACATTTTAGGAGTGCGGTATGTTTTTCTTTTTTTTAAAAAACCCTCTTATTCGCCGTTTTCTATGACTTTTTCTATCATCGCTTTTCAACACTTTTTCTTCTTCTCTACCGAAAATGTACGTGTTTTACGATCTGTAGGTTCGCTTACGGAGGTCTGGGGTTCGATTTCCTGGCGATCCTAGGAAAATTTCACCGTTGTAACTGGCCGGCGGTGCATTCAGCATCGTGAGCACAAATTGAGAAACTATCAAAATGGGGCGTCATTATGGTTTATAAAATAGAGATGGGGTTAACGATCGTAGAAAATAATGTTTGTATTAGTTGCTCAAAATGATTTTTCCTCCATCTCGATTTGGGGTGGGGGGGTCGAGTTTGATAGGTCAAGCATCAGTCTCGATCGCGAAAAATATATTTCTCTCACTTATTTAAAAAAACTAGTATATCCCCCATGCCGTCCAAACAGTTATTCCCAAGACGTTCATTACAACACGTAATTCTTTTCTGTCAATTTTAATAAAGTTTCGTCCCCTTCTGTTCCAAGTAGTCATACAAAAACTGTACAGTGATCTGAATGTGTATTCCAAAGGAACATCAGTTTCAATTCTGAATTTTGAAGATAATACAAAATGTGACTTGTTTACGAATAAGGAAGATAAATATAGTGCAATTGCGTATTCCGTTAAAATTTATTATAAAATGTTGAAGGGCTGAAAGAATGAGAACCATTTCAGAGATTTTTAAATGATTTTTACTATTGTTTACCTCACTCTGTAAAAGCTAATGAAATTAACTAATGCTTCTTTGCAATGCAGGAGACGAATGCCGCGACGAATGGCGCTTCGGCCGCCATTCTGCGACCTTCCTTCCAAATGGGACATTTAGAACGTTGGCACCTGTGCCTCTGACGCAGCGTCCCCCGGACTCCGGCCGCGGAAGCCAACGCTCTCAGATTAACTGGCTGTTTCATTTCTTTCTTACGCGTCTTGCTTCGCTCAGGTACCTTCGTTCGCACGATGAATCCTGTGATCTGCGGAGTCAGCATCCGAGAGGTTGGAATGGTGTCTTTGATGAGCCCTGCGAGGAATCGCTGAGGGGAGCCATGTCCAGGATGTTGACACTGAAACGGACAAGAAAGTAACACTTTAGGATCGTCCAAATAAATTTTGTGCTGAAGTGCATAAGTAACGGTTCGATGTATTAACTGTTGACGTTTTATTACCCAGTGTAATTAATCATTTTCCTTAGTCAAACATTAATTTTAAAAGATACAGAAAATATTTTGGATGCTAAATTAACATTTACTTGCAATCATCTGATAGATATTAGAGCTATTGTAATAAGTTGTGAATAAATAGGGTAAATCTGAACTGTAATTAGGGTGAATGGTAAATAGAGTAAGTATAAAATGTAATTATTCATGCCGTTTATATTGTGCTAATCTTCAATGAAACCAGCATATCTGCAGAAATGTTTGTATGAAGGATGCTTAATTACCCTTTCCTCAGGTTACGTGTGGGTTTCGCTAAAGCTTCAATAATTATGCTGATAATTTACTTTAATAGAAGTTAATACTTGGTGATTACCTTAAAGACATTTCGAATATGGACGTTAAATATAGTGTTTAAGTTTAATTCTGTACTGTATTGGAGTTTCATCTTCAAGACAGAATTCATATGTAGCTATTACTTTCACCATCATTCTTCATTTATGATCCGATAATTGGAAAAGCTTAAAACACGTGTGAATGTTTCATTTCGTTTTCCTATCTGTCGAGTTTCTAATTCTAATGTGTGTGTGCAATGTTGAATTTTTTTCTTGATATTTTATTAGGCTCGCATAAAAACAGAATTTTAATTTTAACAAAAGGTGTTCACTAAAAATAATCAAATATTCAATCAGTAGAAACTAGTATTCAATAAATAAATTTGAATAATCAATAAATAAAATAGTAGTGTCAAGTTTAAATTAAAGAGGAACATTTAAATTGATAATAGATTAATATCACAATCAACAATCTTAAGTACTTGATAATAATCCAAATGTATTACAAAACTCCTCATAAACCAAAGAAAAGTGTTAGTCTTCATGCAGCAATAAATCGAGCAAATGACGAAATGTGTATAGACTTCGTAGAAGAGATACAGTAATTAATTATTAACCACATAAAGATTTAACTACCAGTTGATATACCCAATTTCATACCGTCTTTTAATTCCGTTGTTTATGGTGTGTATAGGGGTGTTACAAAAGTATTTATTTTTCATTGTGTTTACCTGCTTGCTGTGTAGACGAAAGCTATAAATGCTGTGCCAAATGTGATGCACGCAACGATGGATGATGGATCCGTCAGGTAAGTGCTGAGCAGCAGGCACAAGACCAACATCATAAAGCCTCCGCACATATACAACTTCCGCACCTGACACAAAACAGGAGCATCATATAATTACCTAGTGCCGGCTGAGTCAACTCACTGTAGGCTTTAAATCAACTAATAGTTGTTTCATTGTATCCGCGAAATTATTATAAAAGAAATGATAGAATATTGTATTTAAATTCAATTATTATTACCAAGAGCCAGTAATTGTACAACACCCAACAATGAAGTCAATAATAAGTATCTTATACAGCAATTATACAAGAAATCTAAGAATAAATGTTATGAAATTTAAGATATTGAGGAGTGTCGCAGATTATTTTTTGTCACTGAATATATGGGGATTTCATAATACAAAGCTATGCATCTGATATTTCACCCTGATTGGTAGGCAACTCACTAAGCATTAGTGTGTGGAAAGCACGTTGAACCAAAGATATTATGTGTACCTTTTGAACACCAAAGTACAAGTTTTCTAACAGCCAGGCCATACGACGGCTGTTCAAAAAATATGCGAAGAGTTTCTTAAGTCTCTTGAGTTTGGAGAACAAGAAAAATCACAAGGAGAAAGGTCAGGTGAGTAGTGAGGATGGGGAAAAGCAGTGATCGTGTTTGGCATAGACCTTACGGGTTCTGAGAGCTCAATGGGCTTGAGTGTTGTCATAATGGAAAAATCAGTCGCCACTTTTACACATTTCTGACCTTCTCCGACGGATGACATCGCTCAGACGTTTCTGAATTTCAATATAGAAATTTTGGTTATTTGTGGAGCCTTCTGGGAAATACTCATGGTGAAAAACACGCCTAGAATTTTTTTTAATCGGCATTATCTTAACCTTTGACCGAACATGTGGTGCTTATTGGATCTGCGGGACATTTCAGTTGTCCACTGGGATTGTTGGCATTTTCGGTCAAATTACTTCAAATTTGGCGCCTTGTATTTTTAACAGAGCGTTTGATATGTTTTGAAGGCATTTCAAAAGCAAGGATTATACATTTTAAACTTGGCTCCTTTAAGATTTTCCCCAAAAAGCCGCGCGAATTTCTCCTCTGTTGATCAAACATTCATTTCTTCGTACAAAGTTCCTTGAAGGCGATTTTCAACTGCTTTCTATTAGTTCGGAACGTCACCGAAATATCGCACCAGCTCTGGGTGTCGAAATACTAGGAATCACCGATTGTCTACATCAGGCGCCTGCTCGCCTTGTCATCACAAGCTAATGCAGAAAGCTGAGTAAAAGCGTGCTGAATGTTTTCAGGGTTCGATTCAGGGTATGCCAAGCACTGAATGCAGTAGAAACATGAAGCATAAAACAACGAAATTCGTAAGGAAAGGTTTAATTTCGTAGGAGGTAACTGTGACAATTTCTTGAATACTCGTTAATTCTTTCTCCAAGTAACAATCCTCGTCAATTGTGTGTCATCTCTTTTCCAGAACACTTTTGTCTGACAAAAAAAAACTACTGACAGAAAAGGTGATGTTTCGTTGCACCTTGTATTAAAATGTTCTCCCAACGGTTCTTCGACTATTGCGCCGCCTGAACAGGGACGATTGGACTATTGTTTCAATGTCATAATTATAAACTTATTATTCATCACCGGTTATGATCTTCGTCAAGTTTTTATCTTCTACTGAAAGACCAATCAGTTCCTGACAAAGCTGGGCACTCTGTCCGTCATCAGGCGTGGCACTTATTTCACAGCAACTTCAATTTCTCAGTAAAAACCTCGAGACAAGATCCAGCTGATATCCACAGTCTTCATAG